CCTGTGGCTCCTAGGCTCAGGGGTGGCCAGGTGGCTCTGCGCACTGCCCCCGCTTGCAGGCACTGCCCCCACAGCTCCCACTGGCTGCGGTTTCCGACTAACGGGACCTGTGGAGCCAGCACTCAGGGCGGGAACAGTGCGCGAAGCCTCTCTGATTGCCCCTGCACTTAGGTGCCACAGTGACATGGCTGCTTCGGGGAGCCACACGGAGCCAGGGCAGGTAGGGAGCCTGTCTTTGCCCTGCTGTGCCGCCAACTGGACTTTTGGCCTATTAAAATCTCCTGGATTGCTTTCAATAGCAAACGGGAGATTGAGTCTGATTCTGGGAGACTCCCGGCCAATGCAGGAGGGTTGGCAACCCTAAGACTACACCATCTCTTATAACACTGAGCTGTTTTCTTTGTGGGTAGAAGCTGCATTGGCTGCTCAGTGGAGCAGCTGGTAGGGACGGAGTTTGCAGTGGTAACATGGGAGGTACTGTTGTCCATTGCAAAAACATTAGTTGATCTGGGAACGTCATCCTCCTCAAAATTGAGGGATTTACGACCATCAGCTTTCATAGAGGTCACAGGCTAGTCAGAGGGGACAATGTGAAGTTTATCAACACTGGCTTTACACTAATGAAAAGGTCTGGGACAGAGATTAGCCCTGACCTTTCTGGGTCCCCAAAATAATGGAGGTGGCAGTGGAGAAGCAGCTAAGTCAAGCTCTGACAGAATCATTGCATCAGAATAAAGTGTTCCAGCAGATTTATTTCAGCCCCATGTCATCAGCATCTGCCAAAGAACGAAGTCAGCTCATCCCACACGGGAAATCCCCACAGACTGCAGGCCGAGAGTGTGTGTCTTCTCATTTGATTGGTTCCTCCATAGGTCTGTCAGAAAAGCCTACTCTCTTATTGGTTAGCTAGGAAATGTAAATGACTGGTTTTACTTTTTTGGGGAAACCTTTGACCCAACTCTCTGTCCCATGATAGGCGGAGATTCAGGGCCCACCCCTCTTTCTAAATCTCTTGTTTGATTGGCGCAGAATGTGTCTCGTCATGCCTTTCTCCTCTTCAATTGGTCACAAGGCAGTTAACACGTAGAGCGCGCTCTGTGTTTGTGAGGATATAAGGAGTCGACCTGGCAACTCTCCTTCTACCTTCCGGTCTGCAGCGGGAAGCGTTGATTTGGGGGCGTGGCTTATGAATAGCTATGAGCACGGCTGTAGTTGTTATGGTTATGCGTAATTATTCATCACGCTGCCTGGTGATTGGCTGGGATGTCTGATTAATTATTAACAAGCCACTTGGCGGGCTTTCGAGGGAGTACTAACGCATAGGCCAGGCAGAAGGAGCCGGGGGTGGGGCTATGCTGATGAGGCGGGTGCAGGAGGCCGGGGCAGCAGGGAAAATGGCGGCGGAGCGGAGCCGCTCGCCCATTGAGGGCTTCCCGGTACCGGCCTGTATGTTCGCGCCGGAGCCCAGCTCCCCCGGCGGGGCGGCCCAGGCGACAGCCTCCGCCCGACCCCGCCGCGCCGCCTTCGGCTCGGACTGCAGCGAGGACGGGGAGGTGCTCAACGGGGAGCCCGAGCTCGACCTCACCAGCAAGGTAGGCCCGGCGAGGGAGGCGTTTGACTGCTGGGCAATGGGGGCCGCTTCTTCCTGCGGCCGGGATGGGGGCGTGTCCCTGGCGGGGGAGCGGGAGGCCTGTGGGGGTGTCCGGTGAGGGTAGCTGACGGTGCTCTCGAGCGCGGGGAGCTGGGACGGTCCCGCCCCACCCAGGCGGTGAGGATGGGGGGCAGCCGCCGCTGGGGGAGGCGGCCGGCCGGGCAGGAAGATCCGCGCGACAGGTGTCCTGGTCCGAGCGCCCGGCACGGCTCCGGGCTGTGGCTCTGCGGGGATTGTGAGCTGGCAACTTGTTTTTTTTTTATTTACCGCACATTGCTGCCTTTGCCTCTAAACTGGCGCCTGCTGGGATCTTTCACTGGGCAGCCCCAGGTGCTGGTCCCCCTACTTCGTAATGGTTAAAAGCAGCTCAACGTTCATAATCGGTGAGTACGTCTCTCTCCAATACTGCTGTGCAGTGTGGGGAGGAGACCTATGGTGTAACTGACAAACGTGTCAAAAATGACTGAAAGGGGCCTTTGAAAGAGCCCCCTTCCCACATAGAGCTCATTGGCTGTACTTTATCTAGCGCTGTTTAGGAAACTGTCCCAGGCAGTGTGTTTAACCTGGGTGTCTGATCTTCCGTCTAGTTGGTGATGGTGAGTCCGACATCGGAACAGTATGACAGCCTGCTCCAGCAGATGTGGGAGAGAATGGATGAGGGATGTGGGGAGACCATCTATGTAATTGGACAAGGATCAGGTGAGTATAGCTTCCTTTTGAAGCAAGAGCAAACACTAACTTTACAAGAAAGTGTTAGTTATCTAATTTGATGCTTCGGAAGACTTTGAGATGTGGTCAAGTGAAAAATTCCCTCCACTCCATTCCCCAATATAATACCACATGCAGGGCATGCCCTGCTGGTGAGTATGCCTGGAAACATAATTGGGTTACCCTATTATTATTTTATCTGGCATAACTATAAATATTATTGATAACCACTCATATTTCCAAACACATTTTAAGGCATCTGAGCACAGTACTGGGTGATGGGAGTTCTGGAGTTATAATCTCAGTCTTGATACTTCCTTCATGTTCTGAAGTGTCTGCTTTACCTCTGTCATTGCTTTTTTCCCATTTGTAAATTGGGAATACTTCCCTACTTCACAGGGGTGTGTTAGAAGCACTTTATATTTAACTATCAACTTTAACCAAAATAGCTGCTTCTGACTCCCCTTAGTAGCATGTGCTGAAGGCTGTCTATAGTACATAAAGCAGTTCCCTTTTTGTTGTTTCTAAATGTAATACCTTTAATGTCACATGTCCTAGGTGTGGCAGCAGCCACCTGACTTTGCATATTTGTGGTTTTCACACCTGATCCTTTAACATGGCACATCATATGTGTGCCCCTTGTTCAATTTGTTCGTTCTCTTTTACAAATCACATTTTTGAATATTGTGCTAATGAAAAATACTGAATTTGACACCTCTAGAGCATGACATTCTTTCATAGAAAGCACAATTAGCTCATGGATGTCACTAAGGCCAAGAGCACGGTGGGTTTCAAAATAGTTGGATATGTACATGGGTATTCTTAATATCCAGAGTCAAAAGTTTTTATTTATTTATTTTTTTAATATTTACTAAGTTTTGGAAGGGGTATATTTCAGTGCCAAAGCCAACCCTCAAGCTATGGAACAATTAGCAGGAAACCTTGCAAGGGGGCAGGTTATCCCATAACTGCTTACTGCAGATTTTCTTGCACCTCCTCTGAAGCCTCTGGAAATAGCCACTGTCTCTCAGGACAATGGACTAGATAGACCACTAGTCTGATTAATTTCAATTGCTATGCCTGCAGTACAGGGAGAACATTGACAGTGTTCAGTCAAGCTTCCCATGTACATCAGTCCTATCTATTTTCTGTATCTCTGATGCAGGGAATAACCATGCCAAGGGAGGGAAGTTCAGTTGGTCAATTCAGTCCTTGTGCTTTCTGCTGAGACTGCCCATAAGGATAATTTGTGATTTGTTTAGAGATAGGCACTTGCTTGCTAAGATCTGGGTTAAGACTCCCCAAGAGGGAAATATGCATTTTTGTATACAAACCTGGGGTTGTATTGGAACCAGTAACCTAGAGGAGAAAGACTTCATATCACAGCCACAATCCCCCAAACCCATGTAGACTCCTTTGAATTTCTTTAGTTTTAATAATTTAAAGAAAAACTAGACTTGAGATCTAGTCAGTTTTACAAAACATGTTAATAGTTCTTTTCAAAAGCTATCGTCTCCACTGCATCCCCTGGTAACCTTTTTTTTTTTAAAAACACTTTCTCTCCCCTGTTGCAGTGTGAAAGACAAATAGAGTATCTGGCTGTAGATGGGGAAACTGACTAAATACCCAGAGTGCTGTTAAATGCACAAAGTAAGCAAACTGAGAAATATATGAATTTTGATGCTAATCCTTCAGCGATTTTGGGTGTTGCTTGTAACTCTAGCAGGTAAAGTACTCTCAGATAGTAGGATTTATTTATTGTTTTGTTTTTTTGCTGTTGATAGTGGCCCTTTAATTCCTTTGAGTCTTAAAATTAAGCCTAAAGTTTTCTTCAGGAATAGGCCGTTCTTCCTGTGTTTCTATAGGCTGACTGGTGTCTTTCCCATGTCTGTAATCAGTGCTATAGGCAGTTCATGTGAAGAGAGAATAAAATTAACATTTACTCCAGGCTGTTGGGGAGTGTTGCTAATCTTTTATTCCCTTCCCCCTCACAACCTCTCATTAGATGGGACTGAATATGGTCTGAGTGAGGCAGATATGGAAGCATCCTATGCCACAGTGAAGAGCATGGCAGAGCAGCTTGAGGCAGATGTGATACTTCTGCGGGAGCACCAGGAGGCAGGGGGCAAGGTGCGCGACTACCTTGTTCGGAAACGTGTGGGTGACAACGACTTCCTGGAGGTCAGGTGAGGCGGCAGGGTTAGGCAGTATCACAGCCACATCTCTTTGATCTGAGCAAGTGGTGGTTTGAATTTGGGTGTTGTATGAACCCAGAAAAGGCAGCTGTCTGAACACTCCTTGCTAATTACATCTTTTTCCTCCTCTTTTTATACAAGCTGTCTGCAGTGATCTTTACTTTGCACTCCTGTTCTTGGCTCAAAAGTTTGTGTCTGAGTGACAGCCTCTGTTTGGGTTTTCTCTGGGCTGGGAGCACTTCAGGGATTCTCTGCTGATCCATCAAGGAGTTATTTGGGGACTCATTCATCCTGTGATTGCAGGGGATTCTGGAGCCGTTGCAAGGAGTGGACTCTTTAAAATAAGTCAGATACTGGAATATGGAATCTTTTGCTTATCAGTCACCACTTCAGTTCCAGCCTAATGCTTAAGTGATCTCTTAATGGGTGTCTTGATGCCTTGTATAAAAATGACTTGGGAGTCCCAGTACAGTTCCAGGTGGATTGGGTTTTCGCATCACTCATGCTGCCACAATGACCATCCTCATCAGCATCAATAAAGATGTTATATTAATACATGAATTCCCTAAAAGTGTCCCTCTAAGTTGGATTATGTTGCTTGTACTGTGCAAACTCTAAGAACCGATTTCGGGTTCTGGTGCTGTCACCGGCACCCATCACTAGCTTCTATTAACATGAAAAACTTTTCTAAGGGAAGACCAAGCTGACATTCAAAACTCTTTTCTAGGTGTTTGATTACTTTATTCTCTCCCTGGTAGGGTAGCAGTGGTGGGCAACGTGGATGCAGGAAAGAGCACATTGCTGGGTGTCCTGACGCATGGTGAGCTGGACAATGGCCGGGGCTTTGCACGGCAAAAGCTCTTCCGCCACAAGCATGAGATCGAGTCGGGTCGTACCAGCAGTGTGGGCAATGACATCTTGGGCTTTGACAGTGAGGGCAATGTGGTGAACAAGCCTGACAGCCATGGTGGCAGCCTGGAGTGGACCAAAATCTGTGAGAAATCCACCAAGGTCATCACTTTCATTGACTTGGCTGGGCATGAGAAGTACCTGAAGACCACAGTGTTTGGCATGACTGGTCACCTACCAGATTTCTGCATGCTTATGGTAAGTGGCAGTCAAGCAGTGCAATATGCCACTGTTCAAAGCTGTAAAATACTAGTACAGAGGAGAAGTGGATGACTTTATTTGGGGCGGGAACTTTTTTTTTTTTTTTTTTTCTGTGTTTTGTACAGCACCTAGCACAGTGGATATCTGGTCCATGATGGGGGCGAGGTGGGGGTGTCCTAGGTACTGTGGTAATATAACTAATAGCTTCAGTAGACAGAATATAATTCCCAATATAATGGCATGGCCAGGACTCCATGGCTGTGTCCCTGCTCTTGAGACATGCCATGGGATCTTCAATAGCCATAAGTAGTGAGGGTATTTTTTTTTTTTCTTTGTCATCTGAAAGATTTCTGAACTTGGAAATACAGTGCTGTAAGCACTAGTTGAGTTGGCTTCTTTTCCTCACTGCTGTCTCTAAAATTCTTGTGTGTTGAGGGGATGGAATCCAGAATTGCTTCCCCCCCCGTTCTACAATCTGATCATAGTCTACAGCAGGGGTTAAATAGGATATCTCCATTTATTTATCTCCTAGAACTGGAAGGGACCTTGAAGTGAAGGGACAGTGAAGCCCCCTGCCTTCACTAGCAGGACCAAGTACTGATTTTGCCCCAGATCCCTAAGTGGCCCCCTCAAGGATTGAACTCACAACCCTGGGTTTAGCAGGCCAATGCTCAAACCACTGAGCTATCCCTCCCCCCCTTCTCAAACTTCATTGCACTGTGACCCCCTTCTGACAACAAAAATTACTATACGACTCCAGGAGCGGGGACCGACGCCCAAGCCTGCCCTAGCCCTGCCACCCTGTGTGGGGGGACCAAAGCCCAAGCTCCACCACCTGAGGTAGGTGGGGGCAAAGCTGAAGCTCAAGGGCTTCAGCCCCAGGCAGGGGGCCTGTAACCTGAGCCCCGACACCCAGGGCTGAAGCCCGTGGGCTTTGGCCCCAGTCCCCAGCAAGCGTAAGCCAGCCCTGGAGACCCTGTTAAAACAGTCATGACCCACTTTCGTGTCCTGACCCACAGTTTGAGAACCGCTGGTCTACTGCATACTCTGGCCAAACTATCCTATGTGATCCAGCTACCTGCAGTTGTATGACTTTTTGATGCAGGTTGGCAGCAATGCTGGGATTGTTGGGATGACCAAGGAGCACCTGGGCCTAGCGCTGGCACTCAATGTTCCAGTCTTTGTCGTGGTGACAAAAATCGACATGTGTCCTGCCAACATCCTGCAAGGTAAATGTGGATCTTTGCCAGCAACTGCTCCTCTGTCCTCAGAACACTCAGTATCCACTGACTTGCCAGTGTCCCCTCAGCTGGGATGGTGAATCAGGGCTGATAGAAGTCACCTCATACTTAGGCTGTAGCTCAAATACATTCTAGAAATTCCTTCCCCCCCCCCCCCCCAAAGACCATTCCCTCACTTGTGTTACAGCTGTCACCTCCGTTGTTTGGATTGCTTAGTTGTGCAGCAATACAGTGTTTGCTGTGGGGTTTTGCCTAATTAGGCTGGTGTCAGGGTTAACTAAACCTTTGGCCCTTCTCCTGGTCTTCCTCTATGGCACCCACTTAGATGATGGCCAGGATCCTGAACACTTTTCTTGGGCAGAGATTTCTCTTCTCCACCCCCCCCCACCCCACCCCCCGACTGGGGATTTATGCTTGCTTTCACTTTGTGCCTTACTGTGATTTCCCCAGCAGATCTGACTGGGGTCCAGCACCTGTGGTTAACTTTTCTCCAGGGGCTACAACCATGTACTCCAGTTACCAAGCAGACTTCATAAAGCAAAATACATTTATTCTCAGGGTAAAATCATTAGAGGAAACCATATTAACACATGTTAATACAAACTCTTTCAAACAGGGCCGTCCCTACCCATATGCAAAGTATGCAGCTGCATAGGGCACCAAGAAATTTGGGGCACCAAATTTCCTGGTGCCCTGCGCAGCTACATGCTGCTCTAGCCCCTGCCCAGTCTCTTTCCCATGGCCCAAGCCCTGCCTCCGCTCCCGAGGACTGCAGCAGGGCCAGGCCTTCATTCATGGGCAGTGGGAAGTGCAGCGACCTAGCCCCAGCCGTGCCACCAGTGAGTGCTGGGGGGGGGCAGTTCCCTCCTGCCCCCCTCACAGAGGCCTGGGGCCAGCTCCTGCCCCCTTCCCCCCCCCCCACAGGGGGGGCTGCATAGGGCCCCAGAATAGCTAGGAAGAGCCCTACTTTTTAAAGCTTGGTAGAGATCACTTGTCACACTTATGGGGTTCTACATAGTAAACCAAAGCCCTTCCAGCACTTCCATAAGGGTTAGGGGATCCCTTGGACACAGGGTCAAGAGAGAGAGGCATTGTATGATTCACCTTAATCACCCACACAGTAGTTCCTGGAGAGCTGTGGTAACTCGTGGAGTTGGATGCAATCCCTTGTGCACAGTGATATGTAAATCATTAATAAACTTAATATAATGGTCCCTAAAGAGAAATTGCAACTGCAGGCAGTCACATAGGCTCTCTGGGGAGAGGCAGCCAAGTGCTTTAGGCTGGAGTTGGGATTTTTCTCTTGGTATCTAAATTTGAAGGGGGGAAGGCCTGCAGTTGGGTTGTGGGGGATGGATATTAATTTGAAAGCTCTTGCTCTGCTTCCTGCTTGAAGGTCAAAAGTGACCTGCTTAGGCACTTCCAGTGGTGTGCATCAAAACAGAGGGATGTGGGCTGCCTCTTTTCCTGAATTCTGCTCCTACTTTGATTTTTGTTCCTCGCCCATAAGGATTTGGCTCTAGTTACTTGGAACAGTGATGTGTTTTTGGTCAGAAGTGCCTGAGAAGTTTTGAGAACCAGGAAGACTAGCAATCTGCCTGTTGCATAAATCTGTCAGAAGATGCTTTCAGTAAACAGGACACTGAGCAGTATCTTCTATAAATCCTAGGAAATGAAGGTATAAAAGATATTTGGCAAACTAATGAAAGCCCAGTCATAAAGCCAGTAACGGGGAGGGAGGAGCCTATTTGGCTTAGGGTAAGAGAGCGGACGTTTTGAGAATTTTTATCTCCGAGCCCACTACTGTGCCAAGAGAAGGATGTAGATGTTCTAATTTGAATAGAAGGTGGAAGATTTGGCCCCTTTACCTTGAGCTTTGTATGAGGAACAGATGACATGAGCAGATGTCGGTGTCTCCTTAGCCAAAACACTAGCCTCCTAGGGTTGCTTTTTCTTAATTACAGCCTGGTTATGGTTATCTGATCTTAAGTGGCAATTCGTTTATATTCCTCAATTGTCATCTGAAGTCCTTACCATCCCCCTTGTTTTCCCTCACACAATAGTTAGTTATGTTGTAGGAGATCCTTTCATTAATGCGTTGGGTCTTGGCCACTTCTGGAAGCAAGATACTGGACTAAAAACTGGGCTCCACGGTGGCAGGAGAAGAGGGAGGGCAGGAATCTGATCTGAAAGCCAAATCCTCTGCCCTGAAACACTGACTCCTGCATGTCCCCTATCTGGACCTCATTTTGCTCTTGTGATAATCTCTGCTCCCCTCTTGCTTCTGTGGAATTGTGGTAATTAATACGCATAAGTAAGACTGTCCTGTCCTATCATGGCAAAAGCAAGTCATAATTCAAACACTTTCTAGTTCTGACCACTAATTAGCATTCAGCTCATCATAGAAAACTGAGGAAGGTCAAATCCTTTTTTGTTTTTGTTTTTGTTTAAAACTCGAGTGGCTAAAGATCAATGACTTGGTTGGGGGGTGGGTGGGGAATCATATTTATTTCTTTTAAAAATAAACCTGTTTAAAATGAAATCTGAATTTAATACAGAAGGTGAAGGTCTAAACTTAAATCATTTTAAATAAAAACAATATGCTGAATCTGTGAGCCTCTATCAAAAACTCTTAAGTTGAAGGCTGGAGATCAAAAGTCAGAACATTTTTCTCCTGAAATGATTTTATAAACATGGCATAACAGATCATGCTCCATATTAAGGGCTTGATCCTGTTGGGGATGCAGGGGCGGTGCAAGACACTAGCAAAGTAGGGTTGCCAACTTCCTAATTGCCAAAAACTGAACACCCTTGCCCTGCCCCCCACTCACTTTCACCAGGCTGGGGCAAGGGGTGTGGGATGGGGTGCGGACTCTGAGGTGGGGCTGGGGATGAGGGGTTTGGGGTGTAGGGGTTCACAGTGCAGGAGGGGGCTCAGGGCTGGGGCAGGGGGCTGGGGTGCAGGCTTTGGGAAGGGAGTTGGGGTGCAGGAAGGAGTTTTGACCTGGGGAGGTGGTTGGGGTGCAGGCTCCTGCAGGGTGGCGCTTACCTCCGGCGACTCTAGTCAGCGGGGCTTAGGCAGGCTCCCTGGCTCCGTGCAACTCCTGGAAGCAGTGGCATGTCCCTGCAGCTCCTAGGCAGAGGGGTCAGGGGCCTCTGCACACTGCCCATGCCAACAGGTGCTGACTCCACAGTTCCCATTGGCTGGGACCGCAGCCAATGGGAGCTGCCGAGTTGGCGCTCGGGCAGTGCGCGGAGCCCACCGGGCTGCCCCTGCGCCTAAGAGCCAGATATGTTGGCCACTTCTGGGAGCCATGCAGAGCTAGGGTGGGCAGGCAGAGAGCCTTCCTTAGCCCCGCTGTGCCCCCGCCCGGACTTGACAGCCCGATCAGTTGTGCTGGGGACTGCCAGCGTCCCTTTTTGCCTGGGCAATCCCGTTGAAAACCTGATTCCTGGCAACCCTGTGGCAGTCATCCCACCCATTGGACCTGGCCTCTGACTTCAGGAGACAGTAACATGTATCTCATCAGCAGGGATTCTAGTTTAGAGATTTTTTTAAAAAAAATCTAAATCCATGTTTTTCCACAATTAAAATGAGATACCTATATTATGGCTAGGTTTAGTTGAACACTGTTTTATTGATATAGTCACAATTTTAGGCTTCAAACTTGCTTTATCTGTGCCAATCATTATAATAAAATGAATAGAATGGTCCAGTCACAGTGCATTGTTTCTTTTTAGTGTTCGGGATGGCCCTGCTGTTTCAGCCTCTTGTTTTTTAGCTTCTTTTCATTCAGTTTGGCGCTTTCTATCTGTTCTACCATTGTCTGCCTTCGAACATAATCTGCACCCTTATTGCATACAGTACAGAACAGCACATTGCTATCAAGGTGTAATTTGTTCTTCCCAAACTCAGTGACATGGTTGTTGGGGTGATTTTTAAAGTTTTCAGCATGTTTTCATAACTTTAATTACTTGTGGAGGCTGAAGTGAGATGCATTGAAACATGAACCTCTACATTAGGGGTAGGCAACCTATGGCGCACGTGCCAAAGGCGGCACGCAAGCTGATTTTCAGTGGCACTCACACTGCCCGGGTCCTGGCCACCGGTCCGGGGGGCTCTGCATTTTAATTTCATTTTAAATGAAGCTTCTTAAACATTTTAAAAGCCTTATTTACTTTACATACAACAATAGTTTAGTTATATATTATAGACTTTATAGAAAGAGACCTTCTAAAAACGTTAAAATGTATTACTGGCTCACGAAACCTTAAATCAGAGTGAATAAATGAAGACTCGGCACACCACTTCTGAAAGGTTGCTGATCCCTGCTCTATGCTGTTGAGTAACCTCTATACACCAGAAGAAGTTTATTGGAGTATGTAAATTTAAAGTGCATTCAAAAATCAACCGCAAGAGAGGGAGGTTGCAAGCACTGAATAAGTGATACGGGTACTTTCAGTAAAATTTAGTTAATGTTTTTATTTTTTCACCAAATGTAAAAACTAAAGAGTATCTGTAAAAACACACATTCTGCATTTTTTCCATGGCAAACTGATTTATATGATCCCTGTGTGATGGGATCCCTGGGGTACAACCTGGAACTTGGGTACCGCTCTGTCCCCTTAACTCTCCAGCCTGGGCTGTCTCTCCCAATGCTTTGCTAGTGACAAGCAGCAAACCCCTCCAGGCACTGTTATCACTCAGTATAACAGCATGTGGAGCCTCACACCCAGCTAGATTGCATGAATGCTACCTGAGCCACTCGTGAATCAGACAGAGAAAGGTACCAGCAAATCTCCCAAGCCCCACAGCCTTGTACCCAGAACTGTACCATCTTGTCCTAGTCAGAAGCCTGACCCATGTACGTTTATTATCCAGTCTGCTGCTCCCTTGATGTGGAGAGGACACACACTGGCCTTTGTAAACTGAGCTGAGGTTTCCCAAGTACTTCAACCAAAACACACTGTTTTAGGTAAAATATAAAGCACATTTATTAACTACAGAAAGCTAGATTTTTAGTGATTATAAGTGGTAGGCACAAAAAGTTAGAGATAGTTACCAAACAAAAAGGGTAAGTGCACAGTCTAAATCTTAAACCTTATTAGACTAGGCAGGATTTGGATCAAGCAGTTTTCTCACCCTGCTAGATGTTACAGTTCTTAATACATAGGCTTCCCCTTTAAGCCTGGGTCCAGTCTCCTCAGTTAAAGACTTCGTTTTCCCAGCATCCTTGTTGCTTCTGGCATAGGTGGGGGAGGAAAAAAGTCAAAGAATGATGCCACTATCCCCTATTCTAGTTCAGTAACAACTGTATAGCAAAATCTCACAGCTTCATATACATGATATACATATTTTGACAGAGCAATGGGTTTCAGCACACTATGATCTTTCATATGGTATCTTACGTGGCATGCTTTGTATGAAATGTATCATCATTGTATGATGGGTGAATATGGGAGTTCTAGGGTGCTGCTTTGAGGTACAGAGTGCCACACCCTGCTCTTCAGGATCATCTGCTAAGCCTACCTGTGGCCTCATGTTTAGGGCCCAACCAAATTCATGGTCCATTTTGGTCAATTTCACGGTCATAGGGTTTTAAAAATCATAAATTTCATGATTTCAGATATTTAAATCTGAAATTGTACAGTGTTGTAAGTGTAGGGGTCCTGACCTAACTCTGAAGTAAGGGTGGCTTGGTATGGTATTGCCACCTTTACTTCTGCGCTGCTTTTGGCAGGGCGCTGCCTTCAGAGCTGGGTGCCTGGCCAGCAGCTGAAGTTCTCCGGCCACCCTGCTCTGAAGGCAGAGCCAAAGCAAGGGTGGCAATACTGCGACCCTCCTACAATAACCTTGCAACTCCCTTTCCCCATGACCCTCTTTTGGGTTGGGACCCTCAGTTTGAGAAATGCTGGTTTCCCCCGTGAAATCTGTATAGTATAGTGTAAAAGTACACAAAAGACCAGATTTCACTGGGGGGGATGACACACCATATTTCATAGTCTATGATGTATTTTTCATGGCCCTGAATTTGGTAGGGCCCTACTCATACTCCTGTTTTATAACTTTTCTCTCGACCTGAGTGCTAATTGGCTTAGTTCTCAAATTATGAATATTTGACAACACTCACCATGCAAACTTACTCTCCAGCTCATGTAAAAACACTGATATGCCCAGTATCTGCCTGTCCTTGCTTCTGGGTGGTTCTGGACACTTCAAGTAAGTGGCCTCGCTCTGTCTCCTTGTACATAGACAGATACAAACAGAAATCCATTAACTTCTCAACTGCCTCCCTCTCTCTTTCTAAACAAGTAAAATACTGCCGTGCAAAAGGCATGTGGGTTACATGAACAGAAGTCTTGGATTGTTGTTAGTTCTTTTGTTTTTCTCGGGGTAGGAGAGGGCGGGTGAGTTATGTAACACGGCAGAAGGAACAGTGTGTGCAACCAGAAAGGAGCAACCGTGGTGTTTAAGCAGGATACTGTGAAGAAGAGACAATTTTCTTCAGAGTGCAACTTCTAGTGTTGACTTCAACACCTGGGAACTGAAAAATAATCTGCCGTGGCTGCAGGTCATAAAACCATATCTGGGAATATTGTCAAGAAATTCCTGTACCCCTGGGTACAAAAGGAATGTGCCAAATACAGTGAATAATGCAACAAAGAGATGCAAGGCCTGGCTGTCAGAATGAAACGACATTATGAAAAATGCTCCTCAGAAGGTAATGACTTTGAAGATGATGATGTGGACATGTCTGAACAATCTGGATCAACTGGTTAGTAAACTTAAGTTTGCATCTTTCTTATGCACTGCCTGCCATGTCTTAATGTGCTAGTGAATAACTTAAATTGTCATAAATTTGTGTTTTGGGTGGATTACTTATGAATTTCAAAATGTGTTCAAAATATAATTGGTATGTTTGTGGGAGTATTTATCAATTACACTTTTACTGTCACTGCTGGACTTCTGAAATTCTTTATTGCTTAGTATAATCAAACATCCTAAGTGACAACTTTCTGTTTAAAGTGTGATTGGGCACTTATGAATTTTAGCACTTAAACATTTTTTTAAATCTGTTTGGTATGTTGTTAAAGATAAGGGTTTAAATAGATTTAGAGAATCCTTGGATTTATTTTCTCTCTAAAACTGGGTTTAAAATAAACTGTCATTTAAACAGTGGTACAAATAGTAGTAGGCAGAATCTTTCATTTACAATTTTTTTTTTAAAGCCGTGCACCCAGTAGTAATCAGTGAGCGAGTGTATTTTTTTTTTTAACCATTTTGTTTCAGAGGCCAGTTTAGGTATAAGGGATTATGAATATCCATCTGCAATGTCTACAACTTCAGAGTCACCTGCTGATACCACCAGCAGTGCTGCAACTAAACATGTCAGACAGTAAATTAACTGCGTTAAAAAATGCATGGAAGAGTTCATAAGCAGGACCAGCAAATTCCAGCAAGATGAAACAACTCCATAGATTAAAGGATTGCTTGGTTCATTTATGCAACAAATTCTTCATTTCGGCTTGTTCAAAGCAAACACTTAATTGGACGTAGCTCAGTCATTATGACCAGGCTGCACTCCACCCGGCAGAGCAGACACTGTTGAAAGGTTGTTGGATACAGTATACGAGAAGGAAATCTGAAGAGTGTGCAAAAAAACATTGACAGGGAAACTTGGTAATGTGAGTTTTGATGGGTGGAGCAATGTATGCAATGATCCAGTAATTTGTTCTTGTGTGACAGACAACAACCCCATCTTATGTTATTGTACAGAAATTGACACATCAGGAAATACCTATACAGCAGAATACTTAAAGTAGAAGTAAAGGCTATAACAAACTGAACAAAAATTAAACAGTTGAGCACATAGCTTTGTTGCAGACAATGCTGTAAATGTAGCAAAGATGAGAAGTCTAGAAGAAGATAATGAAGGGAACCGAAAACTTATAACATATGAGTGTGCAGTGCTCCTTGATTGCATCTTTTAGCAAAGACTTAAATACAACTTTTGGAATAAAGGAAAACATTTTTGACATTGCGGAATACTTCATAACAACCACTGTGCTTCAGCTTCACTGAACAAAGCATGAGGATCCAAACTAATTCTCCGCCAAGATGTGTGATGGAATTCAGTGGTTGACTGTTTTGAGCTATTTATTAAGAATTGGCCTCTTCTGATGACAATTTTGTGAAGAAAATCATAACAAAATAGGCTGCTCTCACAACCAGCGTAGTCAACATTGGACTAAAAAGAACTGTAGAAGATATGCTGAATATACTGAAACCTATTTCCATAGCCTTGAGCAAACTGCAGAAAGATTTCAGCTGTATTGCTGATGCTGTTGAAATTTGGAAAGGATGTCAAGAGACATTGAAGAAAGAAATACCCAGCAGGAAAGTTAAATTTTAGGCAGTAAAGAAGTGGATGGATCAAGCACCTACTCCATCTCTTTCTTGCCAATATTCTCAGGCCAAAGTTCCAGGACAGATGCCCAACTGCCGAAGATGCTGCTATGACTTGGGCATCCAGTAATCACCCCATAATCATGCCAACCATAATAAATTTCAGGGCTGGAGGTGATGAACCATTCAAGCAGTACCTGTTGGCTGATCTTTAAAAGAATCCCACCACTGAATTGGTGGAAGTCACTAGCTAAGCACCAGGAACCAGTGTGTGTTGAAGTGCTAAACCAGCTTTTGACACTAGTAGCCTCTTCTGCAGGCAGGAAAGAATATTTTCTTCATTTTGACTAATTAATTCAAAGTTGAGAAGTCAATTGGAAGTTGAAACAGCAGGAAAACTTGTCTTTCTCTTCTAGTCTATGAATAAAAATGAGGAGGGAGGGAATGAGATCTAGCTTTAAAAGTTTGAAGTACAGAGTAAGTAACTCAGGAGACTTTCTTATTTTCAAAAGACTTACCTGAATAGAAACTTCAGCTCCAGTCACTTTCACTTATGCATATTTGAAAAATTTCACAGGCTGACTTGAAATCAGTTTACTTCACAGGCTACAGTTAATCCCTCTGTTCCTTTAATAAATCATTTGGTTGTAAATATGAAACATCTTTTAAGTTCATGTATCCAAAACATTTACCGTTTTTTGTTTAATACAAATAAATGTTATATGCTGTTTTGTGTTTGAATTCATTCCAGTTGCCATCCTGATGCAGCTTGACACAAATCATGAGCTAAAGTTAATTTTGGATGCAATAAGCAATGTATTACTGACCTTTTTTTCTAACATACTGAAAATGTACAATTAAGAAGAATCTGAAAATACTGAGCTATATAATTGCTTGAATAAGTGTATATCGTTCTAGTCTACCTTCCTGCATCGCAAAAAGGTGTACCCAATCTAGTATAAAGGGTCTATTTAGTTGTAAATCAACATGTTTTAATGTAAATCAGATTGGTTGATATAAAACAATAAGCAGTCATCTTTCGTTAGAAGATAACTGATGTACAAATGGAAAGATTAATTGAAATCTAATTTAAATTGAGGTTTTCCATTTAGTGATTTAAATCGCCTCCAATTAAATGAATCCATTCCCATTTAAAACAGACCTCTAATAAGCAACCTTAAAACTTAGACTCCACTTCAATAGATGTATATAGAGGCAAATTCATACTTTTTTGGCACAGTTTTGGCTTGGCAGCAGGCTGGCTGTTATGGAAGACGTGACCCCAAGTCCATTTTTTTGCAAATGTGCCTATCTCTCTTAGGAAATCTGACCAAGGCAATTTTTAAAGAGGGGAGATGCTGCCCTAACTATGTTCATTTCACCCTTTAAGAAACTCTGAAGCTGTTACAGCGACTTCTGAAGTCCCCAGGGTGCAGGAAGATCCCGGTGCTGGTTCAGAGCAAAGATGATGTCATTGTAACAGCCTCCAACTTCAGCTCAGAGAGGTAATAGCAGTGGAGAGAGTGGTCTGTATTAGTCCTGTTTGGGGGTGGAGTGCGTCTGGGCGAGACGATAGGGAGCAAAATCTCCACAGCTTAGATGTACTAACGTTTCATCTGCTGCATAATACATCGGTTCCATAAAGGGAAAACTCAGACTGACCATCCATTTAGTCCTCTCCCAGATAGAAGTGTGGGGCTTGTGCTGAGCTATCCACATAAGATGGAAGCTCAGTGCCCAGACCTCAATGCAGGAATCTAAAGCCCCTTTCTGAATCTCAGAAGGAAGTTTAGATGCAGTATTGCAGAATTTCAAATATGAGGTGTTCTGCAACTAACTTTGCCTGCCACGCTTTCCCCTGCCAGTGCGGTGTATTTATCTCAGTCCAAGATGTTGATGTCTCCCTGAACTTTGAATCAAGGTGAGGGGACTAACTTACTTCCATCTGTTGTCTGTCTCCCTCACAGGATGTGCCCAATTTTCCAGATTTCCAATGTCACTGGTGAGAATCTGGAGTTGCTTAAGATGTTTCTCAATCTCCTTTCTCCCCGAACAAGTTACAGGGAGGAAGAGCCAGCAGAATTTCAGATAGACGACACTTACTCTGTACCGGTAAGGGGACTGGTGCCGGGAAGGCCTCTCTGCCACATTTGAGACTGTACCAGGGGTGGGGAGGTGGGCCTGCTGGAAAGGGGAATTCCAGTACTGCTCTAACAGCATAGTTGAGTGACTCCAGTTACCGGTGGTTCTCTCTCTTGTGCAGGGTGTGGGAACAGTTGTGTCTGGGACAACCTTGAGAGGCCTGATCAAGCTAAATGACACTTTGCTTCTGGGTCCAGACCCCTTGGGCAACTTCCTGACCATTGCTGTCAAGTCCATCCACCGCAAACGCATGCCTGTGAAGGAGGTGCGTGGTGGCCAGACTGCCTCCTTTGCTCTGAAAAAGGTGAGTGTGTGTGTGTGCGGGGAGGGGTCTGCCCTAGTTCCTGATATCAAGAGCCTTGCTTCTTCAGGATACTTTCCAATCGTGGTTAAAATGAGACTGCTTCCACCAACGCTCGAGGGCAGGGGGAGCGTTCATCTACCAGCACCATAAAGTCCCGTACAAACTTAGTGGACCATATTCCACACCCCACTCCCTTTTCAAGAGTTGTCACCAGTCTAATAATTCTGTGCCCTTATCTTGAGCTGTGTTCTCACCAGACAGTCTAAAATAGCAGGTGTGACTTGTAGGAGATCGCTCATTAAATACAAGTGTTGCAAGGAATCACTCTTGTCAGAACTGAGCTAATGTGCTAGGCCTGGTCTATACGTAGTGTTTGCATCAATTTACCTTTCAGCTAGGAGTCTGACTTTAGTTTTTTTTACCGAAAGAATTATATTGGTACAAGCCCTAGTGTAGGGATAATGGTGCCTCATACCAGAATAACTGCATCCATACTAGTGGTGTTGCACTGGTTCAAACCGATATAGTAAAAACTGTGTAAAGAAGCCTTTAGCATAGTGCTAGTTGGCATTGTGCTGTTGGAAGGAGTGTCTTTCTGAATGACAGGTAAATAGGATGCCTATGGCACTCTTCGCAACTGTAGCTATATTAACCCCAGTGTCCTGCCCAAAATTTAATTTTGGGTAATCACATCCTTCTATCTACAACTTCTTCAAAAGTTTCAGCTGCAGTCATTCTTTGGAACCCCTGCATAGCATTGTTGTATGCTGCTGAACAGCTATCACATTGCATCCCAGAGGTGGCTGCATTTCAGTGGGTGTGAGTAATCATTGATCTGTAAAATGCCTTGAGATCCCTCTGGATGAAAGAAATGAACTTATTCTTTGTAGTAAGCATGATTCTTAACTCTCTTTTTGTCTTTTTTCCTGTTTCCTCCCTAGATCAAGCGTTCCTCCATCCGGAAAGGCATGGTGATGGTGTCCTGCCGGTTGAATCCACAAGCATCCTGGGAATTTGAAGCAGAGATTCTGGTGCTGCATCATCCCACCACCATCAGCCCACGCTATCAGGCCATGGGTAGGTGTAGCAGCTTTCTCTGACCCTTATATCCCAGTTGAACAGCTCACAGTTGCAGACTTCTGCTTTAGCCTCAGACTGCTTAATCCACCTGTGATTTCTGCTTTATCCAGGATGTAGGGCATAGTTCCTTGTATTAACTTCCCCAATTCCATTATGGGTGAGAGAGCAGATCTAGAAGAGCAAGGATTGCTGCCAGTAAGAACCAGTGTGCTTGGGAAGAGGAAAGCCTACACAGTGGCTACCAGGAGTCAGCATTGTCTGTAGCCCAGTGGCTCTCTAGCTTCATCATTTGCACAACAAACTCTGCCTGAGACACTGAGGGCAAAGAAAAACCCACAGCTGGCCCGTGTCAGTCAACTCTGGCTCGTGGAGCTCGGGCTGAGGAGTTGTTCCCTTGCTGTGTAGACTTCTAGGCTTGGGCTGGCTCTGGGATCCTCTCATCCCACTGGGTCCCAAATCCTGGGCTCCAGCTCGAGCCTGGAAGTCTACACAGTGATGGAACAGCCGTGCGAGTCTGAGTTGACTGGCACGGGCCTGCTGTGGGTTTTTCTTGTCTGTGTAGACATACTCTGTTCTTCTCAATACCACGGTCCCCCGCTGCTTGGTTCTTAATGTTTCATTGCGTGGATCACCAGGAAAGCCAGTGCAGAACAGTGTGAGACCCCCTGCAGTGTCCAATATTTAGCTTCGTTTCTGAGCAGCAAACAAATGCATCTGTAGCGTCAACTTCGCGCTGATTAGAATACAATAGGTTATTTTCATTCTGAACTCAAATGTGCTGTGGATAGATTAGCAGTAATGACCTTGGACTCTAATCTGAGGCTTGTTCCACTAGTGGCATTTCGTACTTGAGAGCCTCTGGTACATTATCATTTACAGTGCATTGTGGCAGTATCCGCCAGACAGCCACTATCCTCAGCATGGACAAGGACTGCCTACGGACAGGGGACAAAGCTACAGTGCACTTCCGCTTCATCAAGACCCCTGAATACTTGCATATAGACCAGCGGCTGGTCTTTCGTGAGGGCCGTACCAAAGCAGTGGGTACTATCACCAAGGTAAAGGCCGAGGAGCCATACCCTTGCCATTTTGCTTTCCCAGTAAACCTTTACTCCTACAATGAGGAGACAAGTAGGGGAATCTGGGAATTGGGAGGATATAGTTTCACTATCTTAGTTGCCAATTTCAAGCAAGACTCAGGCTAGTGGCGACCAGCGTGTATTGCAGTCTGATGGCCATCTGGCCTGTGTGAAACTGACTGGGTGGGGAGGCTGGGGGTGTCTTTGTCTTCTAGAGGCAGGTGTCCCCTGACATGAGACTGGCTGTGCCATAGAGACTGAACACCCCTCTCAGCCCTACATAGCATCTCCGGGGAAGCTCTGAGGCATGTTGATGGGCCAGTGTGGGCTACCGTGGGCTGATGCTTGCTATATAGTTTACTTTATGGCTAGTGGAAGTAATTCTCTAAGCACTCCTCACTTTCAAGAAACCCTGAAGTTTTGAACCTTGCTTGGCTGGCCCTGCCATTTTAATGCTGTGTATTCTTCCATCTGTAACCGGCAGTTACTCCAGACCACCAACAACTCTCCAATGAACTCCAAGCCCCAGCAGATCAAGATGCAGTCAACAAAAAAGGGACCCCTTACGAAACGAGAGGATGGTGTGCCCCAGAGTGGGACAGCAGCTGGGGGGGCCCTGGTGGGGGATGATGCCACCTCATCCGGAGCAACACCAGCAGTACCTTCTAGTGCCCTGCAAGCACAGGTTAGCAAAAGACATCTAAGTACCTTCTGGCTAATCACATACTCCTTCCTGCCAGCTGATTGTCTCAGCCCCATAAAACATCTGCATTGCTCCCCTTTCTTGGGACTGTTCACTTGGCAATGACAAATTATATGGGTACAGCCGGCAATACCCCAGCAAGGAACTAGACTCCCTGATAACTGAGAAAATCCTGACAGCTGATTGATGGCAGCTTGTCCTCTCAGTGGAACATTTGTATTCAGGCAGTGCAGTGCCTAGGAGCCCTTGTTGTAAGCCAGAGCCCCGTTGTGCTAGGCGCTGTGCAAACACATAGCACCTGCCACAATGAGCTCACAGCCCAAGTAAGGGCATTAGGCCAGCTGTCACTTCCCTTTGGTCAAATCACACTTAGACCACAGAGCCTGGCTTGGAAAGAGACAGCGTTCTTTCCCTCAGTTCATGTCTCTGTATGCCTTTCTGTCTCCTCTTCGCTGCGGTGTCACTGTGGATAAAGGGCTGCACTCCCAGCCTCTTATGCTTGCTCTGTATTTTTGCCCTGTCCCTTGGGTGTTTGTGTGGCTGTGCTCTTGCTCATCTCTGCTTCTCTCTTCCTGCTGCTTTCCTTCAGACTGCACTGGATGAAGAGCCCCACAACCGAGAGGGCAATAAGGTATTTTTGCACCCTGACAGCTGATTTGAGATAACAAGTGGGCTTGCTGGCCTGAGTCTGGGAACAGAGTCACGTCAGCAAAACAATTGTGGAGGCTTTCTGCTTCCATCACGCACAATATGGAAACCCAGGCCCTGGATTTCTGAGATTCTGAGCACCTTCAGCTTCCATTGACTTCATAGGAGTTAAGTGTTCAGAGCTTCTGTAAATTGGGTCCCCAGAAGACTAGAACTAAAGTTTACCAGCTTCTGCTTGTCTCCTTGCTACCTGCAATAGTAGGAGACTGATCATGTGAGAGGTGCTCCCCTGATGCCCTAGCAGTGAGAGTGCAGGTAGAACACTTGCCTCAGTTCTGTGTTTGTCACTTTGATTTTTTTGGAGTCATCACAAACTAAAATTCCGCTTCTTGTTTTCCAGTCGAAGGTTGGAGGAGGGGGCCGGCGACGTGGGGGCCAACGCCATAAAGTGAAGTCTCAGGGGGCTTGTGTGACTCCCGCCAGTGGCTGCTGAATATCTTTTTCCCCCACCCTCTGAGGAATTCTCCCCCTCCCTCCATTTCTTAGCCAAGACGTCCAGAGCAGCTTAAACCAAAACCCATCCAGCTGATCTGCTGCAGAAGAACCTTCCCTCCCAAGGAATGACAGAGGGGTTGTAACTTATAATAAGCTAATGAAGGTGACAAGACTCGTGGAACTGATCGACTGACACCTCCCTCTACCCCAACACACTTTTGTACAACCTGGGCTCTTAGTCTTTATTATATTATGTGTGCATGAAGATGAGAGGAAAATCCAGATATATTGGAGAAGAGCCATTTGGCTGCTTCCCTTTCCCCATCTGGTCTTGTCTGTTTAACCTTCTACACTGTCCCCAGTCCATTGGCATTAGAAGACCTGAAATTCCAGGGTTAAAATGTGCTGAATGGTGGGTGGTTATAGGGGGCAGCAATTCCTCACTCTCCGGAAAGGTGCCAAATGAGTTCTGGACTCTCCCGGTCTTAAACTGTTTTTTAAATGGGTTAATTTTAATGTGGCAGTGACTGCAATTTGGAGGGAGATGCAGAAAACTGAACAGATGGACCTTAAAGAGGAAGGTGAATTCAAGAGAGATCCTTGACCTTAAGTAGGTATGTTTAAATTTTTGTTCTTAATACTTCTCCCTCTCCTCCCTAAATATAAGGCCAATAGCTGGTACAAGTTTAATCAGAGGTGGGATTAAATACAGAGGTTACTTGCCCATCTCATCCTCCTTCCTCTTCTAACCTCTGTTCAGTGCATGCTGGAACAACTCTTACCCACCCCTCAAGGTCCTAGCGGCAGAGTGACATAGTGAGAATGTTTCCAGACGGCTCTGTGGTATAGGAACACTGTGTAGCCTGCGACCAGCATAAGTCTCCCCTGTGACTAGACGGTGATCACAAGTGGGATAGCCTTTTTGGGCCTGGAGACTGAAAACAAATGCCACCCTCATTTGACTTTGCCTGCTCCAAGTGCTCCCTTCTCTCCTGGAACTCGCAGGCCAAGCTTTGCCATGGCAGTGGTAACAGTGGTCAGTCCCACTCTTTGCAGAAGGGGGAAGTGATTAGTTGATACCAACCTTAGGGAAGCACTTTCAGCCTGGGAAGCCCATGGAGATTTTATCTTTTTTTTTTTTTAAATAAAGTTCTAGCTTCTTGGGTAGGCCCTCCAGGACACCCCTTCTGAAGTGACTTATTTTATGAGTATCATGTCCTTTTACCTCAGGCTTTGTAGCTGGTCACCTCCCAACTTGTTCTTCTCTCCTCTCCCACCCCTTCCTCTTCAAAAGACGAGCTCCCCTAGAGGATAATGCTTATCCTCCACTGACTAGTGGGATGCTTGATATCTTGAGGGAGAGGCAGAGCAATCACTTTCTACTCAGAATGAAGTGAGTCACTGTTCATTGTTTCAGAGAGCCTCCACCTTGGGAAGCTGTTAACTAGCGAGACAAAGCCTAAAGCCATCTTTGAGGGCAAACCGAATGGAAGTGGGGAGATAGAGGATGGTCCTTCCTGAGCCAGTTGCTTAACTGCCAGAGCTCTCTGGGGAGAAATCATAAGTAGCTACACTATTAATGGCACCCCAATTGTGAAGGAGTGTGACGTGTTGCTAGCAAAATATGGGGGCCTGCTTCATTCATGCCCAGGCCCTCTAGTAGCATTAAAACTGCATCTGATTTCACTGCTCTTCAGGGAGGCAGAGAACTCTAGGCGTTCTTCATTCCTGAGCCTGTTTTCCTCTTTCTTCATTCCTTGTGCTCCAACTGAAAGAGGGAAGCCTAGGGCCTGAAGAGGATTTACATAAATTCATGCTAAGGAGGTAGTGATATCTCCTTTTTGTTGTGACCAGCATACAAAGATCACTGAGACTGGTGTGATGTATAAAATAAAAAGTTTGTTCTAAGTTAAATAGTGTCTTGTTGCTTTAAGTGTTCTTAAATGTTAGTCATGGGAACAGCCACCCCTTACCCTTGAATCCCTGTGCCTTCACAAAGTCCTGCACCTCGCTCTACTCCAATCTAGGTGTGAGAGCAGCCTCTGCACTTATGGAGGGGGATAGGTTCCATAGGAGTACTGGTGAAGTTAGGCTGATTTCCCGTACAAGGGGAAGCTGTAGGGATGGTATAAGGGGATGGGGTTGAGAACCATGGCACACCATGAGCTGTAGGTGAAAGACATTCTTTCAAAGTATGAAGGCTTGGAGATGCTTGAGCAAGGAACTGATTTGGCAGCTCAACCTGAGCCCCACTTCTCTGCTACAGGTAGACTAAACCAGGGGCTCTCACCCTTTCCAGACTACTCTACGCCTTTCAGGACTCTGATTTGTCTTGTGTGCCCCCAAATCTCACCTCATGTAAAAACTACAAAATCAGACATAAAAATACAAAAGTGTCACAGCCACATTATTACTGACGAAGTGCTGACTTTCTCATTTTTACCATGTAATTATAAATCAATTGGAATCTCAATATTGTACTTACATTTCAGTGTGATACTTGAGCCTGTTTTTCACTTGTGAGCCTTCTCATTCTGGGAAGCAGTGAAGCTACAGTAACAATGAAGTTTTTCTCCACATTATGTCTATTCCTACTCTCTGGGCTGGCATTAGGGAGCGGCAACCAGAGCAATTGCCTGGGGCCCCAAGCCACAGTGGGTCCCTATAAGCTAAGTTGCTCAGGCTTTCTGCCTTGCGCCCCAGTGAGTCTAATGCCAGCCCTGGCAACCCCATTAAAACAAACTCGTGACCCACTTTGTGGTCATGACCCAGTTTGATAACTGCTGATATAGTCTATAGAGCAGTATAAACACGTCATTGTCAGTATGAATTTTAGTTTGCACTGACTTCGCTAGTGCTTTTTATGTAGCCTCTTGTAAAACTAGGCAAATATCTAGTTTTGCCTCCTGGAAGACCACTGCGTAACCCCAGGAGTACACATACCCCTGGTTGAGAACCACTGGACTAAACCCTATATCTCTGGCCCCTTTGCAATGGAGGATAGAACCTAATCAAGTCTTTAGTGCCCATTCAAACTGCAGAAAGTGCCATTCTCTACACCTAGCTTCTTGTACGAACACTTGGATCTGCTGTATGGGGCATCTGAACTGTGTCCTTTTATCTGTTGCCTAAGCAGTTGGGAGCTGTTCAGGGTTTTACTTTTTCCTGCTCTGAAGGCATTGCCTCTCTATTGCTGAAGTTAAGTGTGGGCCGGGACCTGCTGTAGTGTAGTATGGTATCTTTGCATCGGGCCTCAATTTTTCCTTGCCAAAGAGTCATGCAGCTGTGATCACATGCAGCGTCCTCATCCCTCATGCTAGCTGGGAAATAACAACAGTACCCAAGCCCCAGTGTGCCAGAGTCCAAACTCATAAACTTAGTATCTTCAGTTACTCCCCAGCCAGCCAGGTGGGAACTCCTCAGAATCCTGCTTCCAATGCAAATAGCATCAACTACAAATAGAGAGCAGGGGCAGCTTTGCGGAGCAAGGAATCCACCCACGGTGGGGAGCGGAGCAGCCTTCGTAAGCATAGGCGCCATTTACTACGTAAAATGTTTATAGCCTGTGTTGTCAAACTTCATTTGAGGCAGCTGTTCAGTTACACAGCAGTTGTTCCAGACGTGTGTGTGGATCCTCCTACAAATCCCCTCTACACCCACAGGTTACTTCCAGCTCAGCTAGGTTATCTGAGCAGTAGCACACACATCTTAGGCCCGGTGTTGTGAAGCAGAGCTAGGTTGTTCTTTGGAATAGGGGAAGCAGAATAACTCAAGTGGGTTAGCCTTGGGGGAAAAAACTAAAATCAGTTTTCCAAAATGCTTAGGGAGGGGATGTTGCAAGCTGGGTATTAGGGAAAGTAGGGAGTCAGTATGCATAAGGCAGGAGATAAAATGGTGCCAAAGTCAGATGGTGGCTGGATATGAGGAATTGTAAGACACTTACATTAGACTGGACTAATGCATTTATAAGAACAATTCTGCAGTGCTCTGAGGATGGAAGGGGTTTGGGTAAGACATAGCCTATTATGGGCTAGACTAGAGTCACAAGGGAGCCTGCCACTTTAGGGGACAAAGTCCAACATTTAGGCAACACTTGAATTTTCAAAACCACCTAACTGTCTAGGTACCTAAAGGCCCCCTGCCACTTACATTTTTGTCACCACCAACCAATTGAGAGCCTAAACTAGGTGTTTCCATGCCTAAATTGCCTGCAGAGCCCAATCTGGTAGACATGCTCAAAGGCTGCCTAAGAGTGAGCCCAGTGGATCTGCCCCCCCAACAAAACATCAGGGATGGGGGTGTTGCACCCCCCCCCCTTTATGCCCTACAGACCAGTAAGTTAGAGCATTCAGCTGGTATGTGAAGCAGGGACTGGAACCTAGAGCACTCTAGGGAAGCATGTTAACTGCTAAGTTATAATCACACTCTGGCCCAGTGACTATTGAGACTCATAAGAGTTATAAGGGACCCCAAGGGTCATCTAATTTAACCCCCTGCCAAGTTGCAGGATTTGTTTTTTTTTCTTAACCATCCAGATGACTGATGGTTATTCAGCCTCCTTTTAAAAACCTCCAGTAAAGAAGCTTCCACAACCTCCCTAGGCATCTGTTCCATTGTCTGACTGTTCTTACAGTTAGGAAGTGTTTCCTTAGATTTAATGTAAATCTGCTATGCTGTAGTGTGACCCCATTGCCTCGTCCTGCCCTCTGTCGCAAGAAAACAACTTTTCTCCATCTTTTTTATGGCAGCCTGTCAAGTATTTGAAGACCACTATCATATCCCCTCTCAATCTCCTCTTTTCCAAACTAAACATACCCAGTTTCTTCAGCCTTTGCTCGTATAGCTTGCATTCCATCCCTTCGATCATCTTTGTAGCTCACCTCTGGGTCTTTTCTAATTTCTCTATATCCTTTCTATACATCGGTGACCAAAATTGGACACAGTCCTCCAGCCAAGGCCTAACCAGACCACGTAGAGCGGTACTATCACCTGTGGCTTGCATGCTATGTCTCTATTAATGCAACCTAAAATTGCACTTACTTTTTTTTACTGCAGCAGCATCACATTGCTGGATCATGTTGAGGCTGTGATCTACCACAACTCCCAGATCCTTCTCAGCAGTGCTGCCGCCAGGCCAGTTATCCCCCAGTCTGTATTTGGGTTTTCTTCCCTAAGTGTAGCACCTTACACTTGTCTTTGTTGAATTTCGTTTTGTTGTCTAGAGCCCAGTTCTCCAATTTATCAAGACGCCGCTGAATTTTAGCTCCAGCCTCCAAAGTGCTAGCAACCCCCCCCAGTTTTGCATCGTCTGCACATTTGATCAGTACGCTCTCTCTTCCTACATCCAGGTCATTAATAAAGATGTTAAACAGCAGACCTAGAACAGATCCCTGTGAAACCCCATTTGAGACCTCCCTCAAATACAACATCATTCCATTAATAGTTACTCTGGTTGTTTAATTATGTATTCACTTAATGGTAGTTATGCCAAGCCTGCATTTCTCCCGCTTACTTATCAGACTGTCATGTGGGACTGTGTCAAAAGCCTTGCTGAAATCTAAGTATATTATGTACACCGCATTCCCCCATCCAACAAATTGGTTACCCTCTCAAAGAAAGAAATCAAACTGGTTTGGCAAATGTATGTATTTTATACAGGGGAACAGCTTCAACAAGAGATTGAGACACAACCCAGAATCCCCTCCTGGTTAGAGCACTTACCTGGTTCAAGGTCCCTTGATGTCAGGCAGAGTGGGGACTTGAACCCAAGCCTGCCACATGCTAGGTGAGTGCTCTAACTGCTAGGCTATAAGATAGGGGTATTGCCTCCTGTCTTTATAAAGAAGGGCTGCCATGGTTTAGGTGCCCAACTCCCAGATAGGGTTCGTAACTGTGAATCATGAGCAGAGTTAGGTGCCTAACTCCCCTCTAGGGTCAGAGTTTAGGCCACCCCCCTTTCCTGCATTTCCTACTGGCTAGCTTAGGCAGCTCCCTCCTCATCCTGCTGGAATTTTTAAGAGAGCCTGAATACCTAGGTGGCAGGCATAGGCACCAACGCGGTGGGTGCTCCAGGGCTGGAGCACCCACAGGGAAAAATTGGTGGGTGCAGAGCACCCCAACCTGCTCCCCCACCCCAGCTCACCTCTGCCTCCTCCTCTGAGCAGGCCACCACATCCTGCTTCTCCCCCCTCCCTCCCAGCGCTTGCGCTATGAAACAGCTGTTTCACCCAGCAAGCCTGGGAAGGAGGGGGGAAGGAGGAGGAATGCAGCGCTTGGGGAAGAGGCGGGGCCAGGGCAGGGATTTGGGGAGGGATCCAATAGGGGCAGAGAGGGGGCGGAGTCAGAGTGGAGTTGGGGCAAGGGACGCAAACTCCCACCGGCGCCAGCAAAAGTTGGTACCTGTGGTGGCAGGGCCCCAAGTCAAGTGCTCCAAGGCTTTAGTCCCCCTTGTGAATCTAGCTCTGTCTCTTCCTCTCCACTCCCAATGGAAAATGAGTTCTGTACAAGCTTTGCCCCCCTCCTTCCCAACTGCAAACACATCAGAGGAAAGTCTACAAATCTCAACTGTTTTGACATAATTTATTGTCTTGGATTTTTTTGCATAGGCATAAATTACAGTCTGTAGATAAAAAACAAACAAAACAAAACAGTGCAGCATTTGCAATAGGCTACAGAATTAAATACAGATTAATCTGCCTGTACCCAGCTTGGTTTGCGTAAGGTTAGTTTATAACACTTTCCTGGTACACACACACAGAAAGAGAGAGAGGGGGATAAGTGAGGCAGCTCAAGGGGAGTAAACAGAAGCTCTGCCTTAGCAGATGTTTCCCACTTATTACCATCTTGCTGTACTCATCTTCTGTATCTAGTACCATGATTACCTGTCACGTTGGTAAGAAGCAGGGCTGCAGTTGAAGCAGCAATTTTAAACACCCTCTGCCCTACAAATTGACAGCTGGTCCTGGAGCATAGGAAGAGTTAATGAACCTTTTCTCCTTTAATCACTGTTCCAACATGCCTAGATGTTGGGGGAGGGTTGGTTCAGTAGAAGCACCAGAGGCTAGGTCCACTGCTCCTAGGGGCTTGTAAAGCCCTGGTCAACCCATCTTCAACTGCCAGTCCAAGTTCCTTGCAGGTGGACTCGGAGTTCTAGGGACTGGGGCCAGGCACTTCCATGCAGGAACCCACTTGGTGCCTGGGGCAATCAGCATCTGGTGTAGGAGCCATTCGTCACCCAGTCACCATCCCCTGCAGCCAATTTAGGAGTAGTGGTGATTGATTCCAAAAGGAGGTGCTGGCCCACCCTCATCCCTATGGGCACATGGATCAGAGCCACATGCTCGATGAGGCAATGGAGGAGCAGACCAAGAGGATGTGCACTGCTTGACTTCTCCAGCAGATTTAAGGCAAGACATGTGGGCCAGAAAAAGCCCATTGCCAGCTGTGGAAGGGAGTCCCCCACTCACTTCCCTTTCACACCATCCTAGCCCTACTGGACTTCAACAGGTTTTGGAGACAACCTTGCAAAAATCAGTGTTCAGTATTCTCCGCACCTCACAGCCCCAATTTGACTTGGGGGTGCCAGCCTCAAATGGGGCTGATACAAAGTGAGCCCTTGGCTTTTCTTTCAGATAAAGAGAAGACAAATATGGATACGTAAAAACCAATTCAAAACATAAGCTGAACTAAGAACAGAGCGTGCTGGCCAAAACCTAGAGAGACAGACAACCCTTCTCTGAGAAGCCACATGTTACCTTCTCAAGGCCACTGATATGAACTCCTACTCTGTCCTGTGGCTCAAAGCTGATATAGTGGGTGTGGTGGTGAGAATAAAGCCCCAGCCAGCCTGTTCACAGGTCCCTCTCCCCTCCTTCTCTTGCCAGCTGGGAACAACACTCAAATTTGTGGTTCAAATCTGGGGTCGAGGGGCCTTTCCCACCTTGGTGCTGTCTCCCTTCTCCCAGATAAATCCATGGGAAGAGGTAGCTGTCAGCCGTGCCCTGTCCAACCGTCCCCATACACTGCCTCAGCCCATGACAGCAGCTGTGAATGGGGGACGGCTGTGACACAGACCTGCCCACCCTTCCCCTGAGGGAAAAGGCCAGTCCCAGCTTCAGCCACAAGCCCCCTCCTGGAACCATTGCTACCACCATTACTACTCTCCCTTGCAGGCCTGGTAGCAGGGTCCTTACTGATCTGAACCAAGCTTCACTGGCTTACCTCACCGCCCCTACTTACAGTGAGCCCCACAAGCTCTGTGTCTCAGCACCCTTCAGCCAGCCTTGGCACCACACCCTCTGCTCGGCCTGCTGTCTTTCCCCAGATCAGAGCTGTCAGGGTCGTCGTCCCCTTATCCCCAAAGCCTGTATAATATTGTCTCGTATCCCCTGTTATCCTGCGGGATTTGTGCCACTTCCCGTGATCACACTAATACTCTCATATCTGCCCTGTGTCCCCATCAACAAACCCCATGTGTCTGGATAACTACAGCCTAGACTCTACCCCCCCTATGTACAGTTGTTTATATACAGATGTACATAAACCAGTGGGGGTATAATTATACATTTTTACACCCACCACAGACTGTTATAATTTTGACTAGGGTTTTCCAAAAGCAAAGCAGGCAGGCACTACCAGACCACTGGCCCATCGAGCCTAGTACCCTGTCTCCAACTGTGGGCCATGGCATCTGATCATGCACTTCGCTACTGATCAGTTCACACCTCAGAGCCTGAGGATTAAATAGCCCTGGCCATTTCACTCTAGTTAGTGCTACTACAAATGCTACTCTAAGTGGCTAGCCCTTTATTAATCTAAGTGATTTGCCTCAGTGGTCTTCCTTGTGGTACAAAGTTCTATAGGTTAATTATACATTGCATGGAAAAGTACATCCTTCATTATTACTAAAAACAGTGTCGGGGGGAAGAGTTTTAAAGGACATCAACACAGACATTTTGACTTGTGAATGTTTAGCACTAATTGGGGGATTGACATGTGAGAACAACACACATGTGTGGGAATAATACGGGACCCTCTCCTGGCCACAGCCTCGCGTATTGGTGAAATCCAATAGCACTCAGCTGCGGTGGAAGGGAAGGTGTTTCTTGATGACTATATAATACACTGACCTGAGTGGAAGGTTTGCATTGTTGAGGCTGTTTTACAACCCCAGGGAGATTAGATTATCTTCTCCCCCAAGGACTAAAACCCCAGTCTTTTGCTTATATATTAACCCTTTAATACATGTCTTTGTGTCCTCATTATTTCCCTTAGCTAGCAGGGACGTTAGCAGCTTTCCAGGGTCATGAGATCCAAACTCAACCCATGGCAAGCTAGCCACTGGGTCTAACTAAAACAAACCACTGATCCAATAATGGAAGGAAACAGGCGATAGTGCAAAATTATTTGGTCATGTGCCCACCCTCCCTGACATTTAGATGGCGCCTACCCAGCCAACGATGCCATAAATAGATCACTCCTTCACCCCACTGATAATAATATATGTTCGTTCATAAAACTTGGGACACTATGCTATAGTCTTCTTTAACATCTGGAAGGGATGGGGCTGGGAAGAGGGAGGTGGAGAAAGGTCTGGACTGCAAAGACTCATTTAAAAAAGTTAAAATGTCTGGCCTGACCTGGATTGAAGCCTCATTTCCCATCACACCACCTTTTGAACACTAAAATCCCTCCCCCTCCCCACCACCACCACCACCACCACATACAAACTCTTCCCTCTGGAAGAGGCAGCACAGAAAAGCATATGGGGACTAGGTTTGCCAAGGGTGGTCATTCCCCCACTTCTCCCACCCTGGGACTTGAGAGAAGCGGCAAAAAGAAGAAGAATTTCCTTAACCGGCTTGCCATTCTCTCTGGAGACAACCTCTCTCTGCCATGGTTGTCGCTTGCGGCCGGCACAGAACCTGAGGTAGCCAGCTAGGGGCAGGGGAGAGCCAGGGAGGGGTTAGTGGACCGGCTCCCCATGCACACGGAAGCGATAGATGCAGGTGTACTCCGGGTGACCCCAGTTGCTCAGAATCCGTAGCTCCACCACCTGGAACGTGCCCACATCTTCACCCTGGGCAAGGAAGAGATGAGACATTTCATAGTCTGGGTCGCTCTCTGCAGAAAGCAACACCATTTCTAGGCAAGAGTCAGCCCCCGTTCCCCACAGATTCCTCACTGATTTCAGGAAGGGTCTTCACTTTCACACATCCTGGAGAGTTCCTATTCACCCTCAGAATTTAATAAGGACAGAACCAATAGGGCCCTATACAAAGTACTCTACAAACTTAAATGGGCCAGATCCTCTGGTCTTGCAAAGCCGTGCTTGGCACAAGACCAGAGGGGAAAGGGTGGGGGCAGAAGTGTCTTTAAGCCATCTTTGCGGCCCCTGGATCCTGGTTCTGCATTAGTCCTATCCAATGGTCTCCCCAGGCTGCCCCAGCAACCAGGTATCATCTAGATGCAAACGTGCCCCAGCCATGCATGGCTGGGTCCCAGGGGACCCAGGACCCTTCTCCCAGGCCACACCCCCATGCCAAGGAGACCAAAAATGGGGTGGGGCATAGGAGCCACAATAGTGATTCTACACCAGCCAAGGGGTCCCCTATGCAGGGGGGAATCTCCAGGGGTGGTTAAGCCAGTTTTAGCGTTGCTTTGTGCCACCAGAGCAGTGCAAACAGAGTGGGGTGGAGGGTCTGGCCCTTGGTATCAATCAGAGAATGAGAACCTCTCTGTAGGCTTTGGACCCTTCCTGGAGAATTCTACAGCAGGAGGAGAATTTCTATTCAGTTCTACAGGACAGCTCAGAAAGAAACCTATTGAGAGGTTACAGCATTATCCATTCAGGTCCACAGGACCTTCCCAAAAGGAAAGTCACCTCTCTAACTAAGCCACAGCACACCCCCTCCATGCCAACTAGCAAAGGGTTCACTGTTCTGTGACAGCAACTCCTGTGAGAGCAAGGCCTGACAAACTCTCTACACCTAACGCACTGCCTTCATGGTATTCATTTATCCATAAATAGTGTCTTGTAAGGTATCAAATGAAAGCTGGTGACTTACTGGTCATTAATATAGTAGTAAAATGTATGTACTGATGATATTTAAGAAGTTACATATACACACTGAAATTATGTTTTAAAGTTTGCAACCAGGCAGAGCGGACAAACGGGTTTTCTGCTAGACAAAGCGTGTCTATTCACCTATCCTTGCCTGTGATGGAAATCAAGTAATGTAAAGCCAACGCAGTGGAAACCTTATTTACTTACATATGAAAGGCAACAAGAAAAATAGGTGGTGGGGGAGGGGAATGGGAATCAAACAGGAGCATGAGAAGATACCTTGGAGCCAACACCCAAAACTACCTGGGAACTACGGGAGTTATCCTGTCTTTGGGGTAGAAAACAGTGAGTTTGGGGAAATAGAAGGAGAAGCAAAATGACATTTTGTCATCCTTCACCGAGGAAGCAAAAAGGACAGCGCTTTTTGCATTCAAGAAAGTTAGATGGTGGGCTAGTGATGCTGGGAGGTTGCTTTAGGTGAAGAATTGTTTTAGATAAGGATTTTAGGCTGTCAGAGTTCAGGTAAGACTAAGAAGCATGTTATATCTTTTGTTTTACATGGAACCTGTTCTTAATATCCTTACTCACTCTCTCTTCAATCTTAATCTTTGTAAATAAACCTATTTGTTTTCACTGTAAGTAGATTTTAAGTGCTGTGTTATCATCAAGGACCTGGGCCAGTCAAGCTGTGTGTACATGGTCTCTTTGGTACAGCAAACCTGGTTATTATTGAGAGTGTCCAGGGGCAGGGCCTGGATAGTGCAGGAAATGCGCCGAGCACTTGGGGTGTACCTAGCACTAGCCTGCAGAGACGGCGAGGTCTGTGGGGACCTGGAAGTCCATGCTTGTGGCCCAAGGCTGTTGGTGTCAGGGAGCTGAAGCACAGCAGGCACAGACAAGACGGCTTTTCGCTAAGGGCAGGTAGTGGCAAGGAGCCTCATAACCCCTGGGGAGCATCACGGGGGGGGGGGGGGGCTTCCTCCAGAGTCAGTAGCCAAAACATCCTGTAGTTCACATGCAAGCGCATGCTGCACTGGATCAGACCATTAGCCTGTCTAATCCGGTCTCCCTGCTCCTGTTGCACTGGATCAGGCCATTAGCCCACCTATCCTTGCATCCTACTGTACCTCAGACAGTGGCCAGCAATGGGCCCATCTTGGGAATGCACTGGGCCAAACCACCCCGTCCAAAGAGCTCCAGGCAGAGACCCTGGCACAGCAGAGGTCACGGCATTGGCAGGGACACAGCCTGTGTGATGACACTTCAACTGGCTTCTAAATACTAGAGCGCCCTGCCTCAGTATCCATGGAGCGCCCTGGGGCCCTACCACTCCTCCTCCGTACCTCCAAGCGGAACGTCTGGATGGGATCCCCATCCTGGTCATAGGTGAACTGTCCGAGAACGATGCCCTCTTGCTGTCCTTCTTCGTCCAGACCCTGTGAGACCAAGTGAAGGTGGGGAAGAAAGGGAGGGTGGAGTGATGAGGAAGCAGAGAGAGAGAGAGAGAGAGAGAAGGAGAAGGAGGAGGACGAGGAGGAGGAGGAGGAATGTGGGGTGATCAGAGCGCCCAGAGGGAGACAGAGACAAGTGCAGTTAAACTCCACTCCTGCTCTCCCATGCCAAAGTAAATAAACAGGGCAGTGAGAGGACAGGGAACACGCAGGAGCAGTGGTGGGGACAAGGCTGTGTGCAGAGGTGCTGGAACAATTTGTATAGTGGGGGTGTTGAGAGCCATTGAACCAAACTGTAAACCCTGGATATGATGGGAACCACTTCAAACCAGGGGGTGTGGCAGCACCCCTAGTTCCAGCACCTATGGCTAAGAGGTGCACATCCTCAGCCCTTCCCTCCCCTTGAACCTCCACCCTCCTCCTCAACCATATACCCATCCCACCCACCTCGCCAAACCATCCCCTCCCCATGTACCCCCAGCCATTGCCTCCGTCCCCCCTAAAATGTCCCCACATCATATGGACCCCCCAGTCAACCCCTCCCTTCCCTCCTCCCATGTACTCCATTCCCTCTCCCCTCATACATCATCTCCTCCCTCAGGTACTCAGTCTCCGTCCTCCTCTCCCCAATATACTCCCTCCCCAACACATTTCCTCCTCCCATGTACTAAACCCCTAACTCGCTTTGCCTCCTTCCACAGGATATCCCCTCCCATGTTCCCCATCTCACCCTGCTCTGCAACACCCTGTCCCTTGGCTTAACACACCAGCCCTCTGCAGCACCCCCGTAGGGAGACAGCAGGGAGACCATCTCTGAGGCAAGGAAACATCCTCATCTCCAATACTGAAGGGTGATTATGAATGGCAAAAGATCCCAAGACCACCTGGGGCCCCTTTCCCACACACAGACTTTTCCTCCTCTACCCCCATTTCCGTGCAGAGAAAGACACTCACAAAGATGGCAAAGTCCTTGGGTGCACTGGGGATGGTGTCCAGGGGCGAGAGGGCTTTTGGGACATGCTCCAGAGTCACAGCAGTGGGGCGAATGTGGCTGGACAGACGGATAACAGCAAAGCCCTGAGATCCACGGAAAGCCCAGCAATTCCCAGGGTTAACGTCCGGCTACACACAAAAACACAAAACCAAACCAGCTTTAGGGAACGGTAATAATCATCACCTCATGCAGTTCCCTAGGCCCTTTCGACCCAAAGCACTTTACAAGCTGCTATACTGGGATCCCTGACCCTCCTGGGAAGTGCAGCCACCTCTGGAATTCAACGTGGCAGCTGATAACACACCACAGTGCAAGACATGAAGAAAACGTTGGGTCTGATCTTCAACCCACCCCCAGGTCACTTTGTGCCACTGCAGTGGGGCAAAGTTACCTCTAAGATGTTGCAAAGGAGTCACTGTAAGCCTGGACTGGTGTGAAACCCACAATTACTGTGGGGAGGAAGACCCAGATGTGCCCCTGGGGCTGGTTCTGGATCAGGGGCAGGGGAGGGTTTGGCCTATCCTCAGGTGGCAGAATGACTCAAAGGAGCTGTCCCAGAACCTGACTGCCACAGAGAAAGTGGTGCAGCATCTGCAGTGACACTAGCTAGCTCTGTTAACAATTACAAGTGCTGTCAGCCCTCAGGCTTCGTGACAAAGAGCTCACTAGCTGGGATGAGGAAGGAAGGTCTTCCCCTGGTTACAGCATTGCATTCACACATGGTGCTTTTTACACCTTTCTCTGGAGGATCTGGCATTGGACGCTGTCAGGGCCAGGACATGGGGCTGGAAGGAGCATGGGCCTGATCTGCTATGGAAATTACAAGGACATTCGCAGCCTGATTTTTGAACTAAAGCCACAAATGAGGTCAGTGGGCACATACCAACGACCAGAGTTTGAGGACCCAGCTGTGATCCCAGCTAAGGTAAGATCAGGTGACAAACGGTACACCTAACTCCCCTGTTCCCCCTTCCTCGTGCCAGGACAGACGTCTTGTGTAACACAAGGTGTCACGGAGGCATCCCTATCCCCATGTTCAGATCCGACTGTTACACTGTGAGAACCCAGAGAAAGGGAATGAAATGGAGGAAGTGTGACTTCCGAGGACGGGAGACTCTGCAGCGACGGGAGAGGAGATGAGTCAAGGGTGATGTGATGGCAGTCTGAGCACCAATGACGAATTAGCTAAATCAGGGGGTCAAGGGAGGTGTTACGAGAACTATCCAGCTGGGCTCACACTGGGGCAACAGGCAGGGAATAGTCCAGTGGCAGGAAGTTCTAGCTCAGTTCACAGGGGGAAATACGGACACCTCTCTACTCAGCTTGGTCCCTACCTGCAGGATAACCCGTGGAGACTGAGAATGGTACCACAGGGGGATCCCAAACAGACTCAGCAGTGCCGTCTTTGTCTCGTAGGTTTCTGAGCATCGGGTGCTAATAACACTGGCCCCTGGGATTGAAAGGGAAACAAGAACACATGAGACCACAGCATCCTCGCCAGGTGACAAAAGTTATGCCCTCTCTGTATATCTAACTATGGCCTTGCCTGGGGAGGGGAAGATCCCAAACAGAGCATAACGTACAGGGCAGGGAGGAGATATTCCAGCTCAGCTCACAGGGCGATAGACAAGAACCATCCTACGGGCAGAGCTGAACTCCCCTTCTAACCATAGCGTGCTGTGCCGTACACGGACTCTCGCCCGGTGAGGCTGGGCTGGCCAGCTGAGTCCCACTGTAATGCTCTGTGTGCATGAGAGCCAGTCCAATACCCTCCCTCTTCACATGCCCAGATGCCTGGCTATGCGCTAAGCTGTCAGGACTTGCTGTCTCCTAGCAAGTCCTTCCTCTGCTTAACACAGTGACAGCGTCTTCAGTCTGACACCCCCTTTCTATACTTTGAGGCCATTGGAGGAGGGAGGTGAGGCAGCCACTGATTCACCTACCCCCTGATTCAAGGGCATAATCAACCATTCCAGTGCGATCCTCGCTGTAGCGCTTCAGGGCTCGGTTCACGATGAGGTGCACTTGCTGCAACAAGGAGTAAAGGACACAACAGAGCTGAATGCAAAGGCTGGAGACACACTGATCAAACACAATCCCAATACACACCCACGTGCAGCCTCTGCATGCACACACCAACACGCACAATGGTCAGCACATGATGTGCAGCCCATCACACACAAACCCCTGCCACCTACATTTGTCCCTAGGCACACGCATTTTTATACAGCCACTCATGGATGGACGGACACACACACACACACGTTGAACTCTGCCGTTGGTTGAAACGCTGACTTGCCCAAGTGGGCGAAAGGTGGCAGGGAAGCCATTTGCACCCCAAGCATGGTGTCTAAAACCACTGAAAGAAGTCCCAGAGCAGAAGTAATGTGAACAGCGTTTGTTGGAACTAGAGGAACTGCTGATTATGGGCTTCAGGTGAGGTCACTGAATTGTTACACCACAGACCAGAATCTTCTTAAAATGAGAGACAGCATCTAAAAACACGAGCCAGTATTGATTTGTTACGGCTCAAGAACCGTGATAGCGTGGTGACCTCATCCCTTTCACACAGGTCTCTTTTGGGGAGACCCTGACAGCTCATCCACAGTGGCAAGGTGCCCAGTAACCACCACATCACCAGCATAACCATTATGGTTATCACCATGGCATGCCAGGAAATTACCATCACGCTGCTGGGCTTCCTTTCTCCTGATCCTGAAAGATATGCTGGCCAGACCAGGCAAAAAACAGGATCTAAGCGAGACCCCTCCCATCAACCATGGCTGGGTCTTGAGCCCCTCCAGAGATGTGACCCTAAGGGCTTGTCTACACTGGCGCTTTACTGGCAAAGTTTACTGGCAACTTTCTCGCTCAGGGGTGTGAAAAAACACCCTCCTGAGCGCTGCAAGTTTCAGCGCTGTAAGACGCCAGTGTAGACAGTGCACCAGCGCTGGGAGCCGTGCTCCCAGAGCTGGGAGCTACGCCCCTCGTGAAGGTGGTATTTTAAGAGCGCTGGGAGAGCTCTCTCCCAGCGCTCTGCTGCGACTACACAAGCCACATTAAAGCGCTGCCATGGCAGCACTTAAGGGCTAGTCTACACTGGCAACGCTAAAGTTCCCACAGGTTCTCTTTCCACCAACTGATCGGCAAGCAAAAGAGCAGGCAGCGGCTGCATTCTCCTATCTCCTCTTTTTGTAGGCATTTGTCTTAAGAAACAGCATGGAACTTTAAACACCACAACCTGAGAGCTACCACCTAAAATGGACTCACTTTTCCTCCCCCCAAAGACATGATACTATTTAAAAGACTTTCAAACCAGGGCTTTTCCCTTGATTTGTAAAAAGTTTTTAAACTCTCTTATTCCTTCTCTATTTGTTATTAATTACCGTATATACTCGATCATAAGCCAGTTCATTTATAAGCCGACTCCCCCAAGATGGATAAGTAAACATGGAAAATTTTTATGACCCATTCATAAGCCAACCCTATAATTCAGGGGCTGGCAAACTTTGGCTCCCGGGCCATCAGGATAAGCTGCTGGTGGCTGAGATGGTTTGTTTACCTCAAGCGTCCGCAGGCACGGAGGTAAACCTAAGTAAACAAAGTGTCCCGGAACGCCAGCTGCTCACCCTGATGGGCCGGGACAGCAACTGGTGGGGAAATGATTTGGGGGGAAAAGCTGGGGGTCAGGGAGTAACACCTGTGATCACTCCCCATATGACCCCACCCCTAGCCCAGGACCCACACACTCTCCCCATCCCTTCCCACCTTATCTGGGGAGGATGTCTCTGGCCTGGCCGCAGCCCGCTCCGGGGGGCGGGGCCGGGCGGTGCGGCCGCAGCCCCAGCCCAGGAGCTGCAGCTGCTTGGGAGGCTGGGGGGGGAGAACAGGTGGCCAGAAGCGGAGAGACTCTGGCCCCGCCTCTTCTCTTCTGTCTCTGCTGCCTCCCCTTGCTCCCTCTGTTGGGGGGAGGGGCTGTGTCCCACTCTCCCTCTCTATACCCATTCATAAGCCGACCCCCTTCTCTGGTGCTTCCCATTTTTACTAAAAAAATTTGGCTTATGAACAAATATATACAGTATTTGTACTACAGACACCAGCTGAGCCTGCGCCCTGCCCCCAAGTATGCTAGATGCTATACACACACACACACACACACACACACAGAGCAAGCAGGGCCAGATTAACACAGGGCCTTGGGCTAAGGGGGGGTCCCGCAAAAATAAATTATATACAATTCAGTGGTCACTAACCCATCGATCACGATTAACTGGTCGATCCTGGAGCCTCTGCCAGTCAACCGCTAAAAGTTCTGCGGTGCAATAGGGCGCTCAGGCAGGCTACCTGCCTGACCCCCGCCCTGCCACCCGTGATAAGCGCCCCCCGGGTGGAACCTACACCTCGCCCCCTCTCCTGCACCCCAACCCTCTGCCCCAAGTCAGAATCTCCTCCTGCACCCAAACTCCCTCCCAGAAAGCAACTAATATAAGAGCTGTTCTAAGGTAAGTAGGCTAT